TTATCAAGTCCCGTAGAACATTTATAATTGGTGAATTCTATGCAAGATTAGTTGACATTCATGGCATAAAAACTTACGAAAATTAGTAATACAATGGAAAAAATTCAATTAGAAAAAAAACAACAAACTATCATTATTACCTTCAAAAGAAGATGAGATCGAACAACTATTTAAGAATATTACATGTTAAAATAATTTGTTTAAATTAAAATGTTTCCAAATAAAGTATCAATTAGATATGATCACATGCATTCCTTGTTGCACATGGAAGAAACAAGTACCAAAACATCTATTAAGTTCAATAAAATCTTTATTTGGTATGTTTCAACATATTGAACACAAGACAGGTGAAGCTCAATCACAAAACTTTCGAAATTTAAAAACAAGTATACAATTACACTTTCAACAAATTACATGTATATAAGTTTCCTCAAAGATTATTTTAGTCATACGTAAGATAAACAATAGTTATTTTACAAAACACGAACAATATCAAGTTTGAAAACTCGTTTCTCCTGTCTCAGTTGTTTTAAATCATTTACGGAAAGTAAGGTTAGAAAGATTACTTGAATCAAACGGTATTGAATAATAGTATTGTTTTCTTAATGTGAATTTGCAATTTATTAAATAATAGTAGCTTTTCTGTATAAATATTTTAATCTAAAAAAGTCGGTATTTGATTGACTCCTATAGCTGGGAAAATTTTCCCAAAAACATTTTACCGGCAGATTCTGCACCCCTGGTGCAAGGATTCACTGCATCGTCATACCCTCATCTACATCCACAAAAGGTTCATGCCCTCACCCACATCCACAGAGGGGTTACACCCTCACTCACATCCACAGAGAGATCGCACCCACCCACACCCCACACCCAAATATGTAGCATAAGATTATTTTTTCTTAAGCTCTTTTAGGAACCGGTCATAAAAGATAACAATCTCTTCTGAAAAATTTGACCCCTTTCAGCCGAATGTTGCCTTTTGGTAACATCATGGTATCTGCTTATATGTCATAAGTCTGCTTCCCGTATTGAAACCTGGTTATCCCCATGGTTCAGTCATAAAAAATATGCAGTAAAAGAATTTTTCGCTTCACTGCTTCTAGGAGTCGGCCGTAAAGGAATATGATTAAATCGTCAAATTTAACTCAACAAGCAACTATATCATCTGTACTTGACATTGATCATAGAGAAGTAGCTAATGAAGAAGAAGAAAAATAATTAAGAAATAGTGGAGTTCTACATGATCTTGGTAGAATATATAAAAAAACACATTATATTCATGACAAATTCATAAATGATTAATATTTATCAGATGAAAAATCCGAAAAAGAAAATCTTCAAGTAATATTTAGTTGATTTTGTGAAAAAGTTACAAGAAAAAAACGATTTATCAAGACAACTTTTTTCTGGGAACGATATGTTTTGTTTTTTTTTGTTATAAAAATTTTTCATTTCTTTTTTTGTTTTGGTCATTGCATTTGCTGATACAAAATAAAAAGTCGAACGATCCTATTCGACGTTATTTTACAGAATAAAATATTTATAAACTTAACTCATTTTTAGCTTTAACAATTTATCTTAGATATAGAACAATGAAAACGGTAACGACAAACTATTCGATTTAAAGTCAACTTTCTAAACATGAATATTTAATTATTATCCGTTATATCTTTGAATACAAATAGTTAGTCAATAGGGCATTATCTCATGGAAAAATACTGCATCGAATTTTATATAAGATATGAAAATTTTATTTCTTATAGACTATCTGATGTGCTGAACATCTGCTCGATAAAACTACACATATATGTGATATCATGATTGAAGATAGATTAGCAACATTCGACAATGTTCCTATGAATCTTTATTGTGTTAAAATTGAAATAATAATTCTTTTAAAATTGATTATATTTTAGAATATTTTAATTATTTCGTTGATCATCTTCATCTAATCAACTATGAAATTCTCCAATGAATTTCTTCTGGTTATTTTGTTAATAAAAATGATCATTATTATTTTTCTCATATTCATCAGTAAGATAATTTATAATTGGTTTTTTTTTTTAAAAGTAATTCTAGTTGTCAATCTAGAGAAAGTCGTATATAATCAGACGATGATCATATTGATCATTCTCATATTCGAACTCATGTAATCAACAAACTGATGAAGATTTTTCAACAGTATCAATTGAACGATTATCTCTATAAACAATAAGGAAAGACTATTATCATTATTTAGAACAAATGGCCAAACTATCAAATCAACAAACTTTAATATGATTTTTTTGGTGATGATTATCATCGAATAAATAAAAAAGCCTAGTCTAAATGTCAACAACATCATTTGGAATGTACACTTTTATTTAATTAATAGGAGAGAGATGATTTTATTTTAAAAACAAATAAAAAAAACTCTCTATTTATCGGTGTGTTTTCGATATTTGTTTCTATACATCTATTTATATTGTATTTCCTTTGTCTCTAGAAGTTTTTCTTCGTAAATTAAGTTTTTTCTGTATCCGTTTCTATATGGAGATAAAACAATTATTCATGACGAACAAAGATAAAAAAAAAATATTATATTTCACTATAGACTGACATCTATTTTTTCTTTTCATCTTTCTCGATTTGGATTATTTTTATTCCATTTAATCTTGTTAATGAACAATGGTTTTTATATAAAAACAGTGTCTATTTTTGATCTTATTTTATTTCTAGATTGATATTTCTTTCTTATTTCAGCTTGTACGAACGTAACGCGATGACGTTTTGGCCACAGTTTTATTAAGTTTTCTCAGCAATTAGATTGACCAGGAGGTTTGCTCTTTCGTTGTAAGATGTATTTCTCCCCTCTGAAAAATCCCTGAAAATATGAGCTCATTTGAGCGAGGTGTTTGAAAAGGGGGGTGTGGGTGTGAGTGTGAGGTGTGGGTGTGGGTGGGTATGGGTGTGGGGTGTGGATGTGGATGTGTGTGGGTGTAGGTATGGGCAGAGCCCGCGCGAAGGATCAAATATTAGGGGGATGTTTGGCAGATTGGGGGGTGTAAGAGAGTATTTTCAGAAAAATCTTGCAGAAAAATCATAAATTGTGGACAAAATCTGCTCTTGTGACCGGATAAAACTGAAAAATTTTTATTTTTGGGGGGTGTACATTCCTCTAAATCCCCCGCTCGCGCGGGGCCTGGGTGTGGGTGTGCGTGTGGGTAATTCAAGAAGAGCAACCCACACCCACAACCGCACATTTCACACCCACACCCATCCACATCCACACCCCCCACCCACACCTACCCCCACCCACACCACACCACACCCCACACACACCCACACCCACACACCCATCCACACCCACCCACACCCCACACCCTAAAATACATTATATTTAATTGTTTGATTAGATAATTATTTTTTAAGTAATGCATCTTCTGTCTTCTAATTTATCAAATAAATAACAAACAAAAATATTTGACTTATTAAAGCATAATCTCATTAAACAATTATGTAAGAATATTTCACTGGGTTCTTTTTTTACAATAACTTAACAGTAATTAGAAGTTAGTAATAATTAAATTGATTATAGAGCGTGTGGGTAGGTATGGGTGTGAGTTTGAGTATATCTCTTATCCACGCCCACACCCTGATGACGGTAGTGAATGCGTTTTGCACCGTCCCAGATTCTACTCTGAAGTATGCATTGATTGGATGTTTTTTTTTAAATTGATGGTCTTGCCAAAGGTATTGATATTTCAGTCGTTAAGAATGTTTCAGAGGGTTATTCTTCTAAATAATTGATGCTTCAACAAATTTTGCTAATCAATTATTCCCTACAGGAGAAGAAACTTGTTCTTAATTCCAATCGAAAAAAAACAACGCTGACTCACTCCTTCATATTTTCATGCTATCGTTTGTTGGGAAGCTATGCAGTTAGGAAAGAAAATTATATCACATAATTAAGTAAACCAGTGTATACTTTTGCATTCTGTCGATGGATGGATGATATACAATTACACGCTCCATGAAGTTTTTCTAAAATAATAAAACTTCTATAGCTATAGAGGTGGAAATAATTAGTTTATAGGTTGTTAGTTATTCAATGAATAAGCTATGTGTTTACTTAGTATTAGTCTATGAAGTCTATCGATCACGATTCGTTTCATAGAATCATTTCTTGAATAAAATTCGATTCATATACAAACCCTACTATACACCATCATGCATCTGACATGGATACGCTTAATCTTCCTGTCATTAAATTTGTTTTCGGTTGTTCGTTGTACTGCAACAACACAAAATGAATATTCTTCCTATGCACATGGATGTAAGCTAAGCGTGGAATTATGTGTAGACGAATGCTGAGGAGAGAATTAAATATTGATTTTTCTTCTTTTTTTCTAGGTCAAATTGGCGGTCCAGTTAGCTTAAGTATATGTGTCCATTCACCTTCTGAACTATGTACTACAAGAAACGAAGTTCATGAAATTAGTTTTCCTCGAAAATTTGATGTGGCACCAAATGTTGCTGTTTCACTCGCTGGCTTCGATTCATACGCAGGTATGGAAAGTGAAATACCATAGCTGTCTTGAAGCATATCATTTTAAAAGGCGTTTATTAATTGTAGGTTAGTTACAGTAATCATATTGGAGCATGTTTGTCCCTACGACAGTTCTACTCTAAAAAAGTTTGTTTTGTTTCATCTAGATTAAAAAGAATGCTAGCGTTCATACTACGTAGAACATTAGTAAACCGACAGGTTTTGTTATGCATTAATGTTAATTTTTTATACTCTGACTCTAGGTTCCAACACCCGGCTATATGTAACCGCCGAATCTATAACCAAATCAGGATTTAATCTACGGTTCAAGTCGGTTGCTGATACAAGAGTATATTTCGCAACGGCAACATGGATTGCTTGTGTTTATTAAAAAGCTTCAAATTTGTCCTTAGATGATATTTCTACTTAAAAAGCATGAGTTTGTTTTCTTAAATAAAGACAGGCTTTTATGTTTTGCTCGAAATGTGTTTAGTTTTAGAAGCCTAGAATGAACCTGGGCAAGGAAGAAAAGCGGATCCCGGTGAAAGGTGTGGGTATCGGTAATAAAAAGATTAGAATTAAGGCCTCCCCCCCCCCCCCCCCCCCCCCAATCCCAAAAATGATTTCGCGTCAGATTCATGCAAATCCCATGAGAGTCACAGGATATGTTGGGGCTGTAGTGGAGAGCCTATGGTAAAAATGTCAGCTCTATACCATGACGTTTAAGAAAGATATTCACTAAACAAGGGTCAAAAATAGCTTATTTAGCATCCAAAAGTTCTCGATGGGTCTTCATTCTATACATTTAATTTTTTTTTTGTTTGAAAGAGCATGTCAAGATACAGGGCATGTCGTTGTCATTTTTTCTAAATTCTTAGTTTTTACGTGAAAAAAAAGTGACAAGTTGAGGGACTCAAAAAACTGTCTAAAATAGGGGGTTTGTATGTAAATGCCTGAATATATAATAAAAAACAAGCGTAATAAAAAAAGGACAACGAGATGTCCTCTATCTTGACACGCTCTTTCAAACAAAAAAAAATTAAATGTATAGAATGAAGACCCATCAAGAATTTTGGGATGCGCGATAACAAAACCATAGATCGAGAATAAGCGAAAAACATTTTTTGATTTTTCAAAAAACAGCTGATTTTTCGAATAGGCGTTGACGGAAATCTGAAAAATTTTTTGGGAAAAACGAAGTGACGAGAAAAACAAATTATCGTTTATCAAAGAGCAGATGACGAGCTATCTTCCCATGTATTTATCTCAACTTTGACCATTCTGACGAAAACTGGGTGTGGGTATCTGTATAAGTCTTCTCTTGATTCGTACTTACAACAACACCCACACCCTCAAGACATTTCATAAAATTAAAAACATAGCAAAGAAATCATCCATAAATCATAGCGATTCATATGCAGCCAAATGATCTAGATAATCACGAAGAGAAAATGAAATAGGTTTAACTTACTTAATTTCTTGTCTATCGCATCACACTACTTTAGTTTTTCATCTCGAATGGTTTCTTGTACAACACTAATGAGAAAACAATGTGGATGACAATGACTTGCATAATCAACTTTTATCTCACCATCAATAATAATAACTTTGATACATGTATTGTTTGTATATACTGTTCTTGGATATCCAAGTGACATAAGTTTTACATCTTTTTGCTGTAAAATTGGTGTTTTGGGGTTCTATTTCAAATCACATTGTCTTTATGTTGTTTAGCCAGTTGAAGATTTTCTTCGATCAATGTTGCGATTTCACCAATAGGTCTGAATAATTTTCGAATTGATGGTTGTGCTTCATTGATTGAAAGTATCTCGTTAGGAGCATATTTATCACATTTAGTGATGCGAGACATAAGACGACTGAATTCTTTAACCCTTCGACGATGTCCTCATTTTATAACTTCATCGATGTCCTAGGATCCGCCTGGACCCAGGTATAGAAAATTTGAAAAAACCAATACTTTTGTTTTATTTAAGCAATTTATTTGTGTACTGTAAGTCTTTACATATTCTGCTTATGGACGTTTACGCATCAGCTTCCATGGAAATCGTATAAAGATAAAAAATGCGGCAAAAAACTTGCGTGAAAGTGTTTTTATGACAATATTCAAATATAAGTCCAAAAACGGTGTACTCAATCACTTTAGCCTCCTAGGGTGTGGGTGTGGTTGAATAGGAACGACTTGAACCCTCACCTCACACCCACACCCGTATTATGCAGCTACTAAAGACTAGAGATTAGAGAATAGGATTGATCTGAAACACCAAATGGTAACGTTGTATTATACGCAAAGCTGTCAGGTGGGTCCACTTGGACCCCCCGACATCGTCGAAGGGTTAAATCTTATTTTGGGAACTTTCATCACTGGTATTATTTTCAAAGCCACTACGACTAGAAGCAGAATCAAAACCCATTTTCTCTAGTTGATGTTGTTTAATTTAGTGTATTTTTCGTTTCTTGTATTTATAGATCATATTCTTGAGTTTCATCAATTAATGTAGATTATTTTGTCGTATGGTCTTAATAGTGTCATTTTTTTTGTTCTGATAATCAATTCAATACAACTATATATTGCATAATGTATGATATTCGTAATGATATTTTAACGAATTTTGCATACTTAACAAATCTTATCAATTTGATACTTTCTTATTTATGAAATGAATATGTAAACTTTATTGACTTTATATTTCTTGCTGCAAGAGTCTATTTTGTATACTTATTAAGATAAGTAAATTGTCTGGAATCAGAATTGAAGTACAGATCAAAGGAAAAAAAGAAATGAAATAAAATTTATCTGAATATATTTGAAAATAAAAAATTCTAGAAGTGAATAATTCTCTTCGATATTGTACAATCAATGACTATGAATCTGATGTAATAGTAATATTAGGATATATTCATGAGCATTGCGTTTAGAATATGTTTTAGTCATATATCAGATTTTGACACTATATGTCATGATGAAATTTTGCTATCGTGTAAACAAATTTCTCAATATTGTTTCAGTTATAGGCAAAAAATCATGAATGACTAAAACAACACCTGTAACAGTATTTTTGAAAATGTTACAAATGTATGACTATTGTTCGAATGTTTTTTTTTCTTAATTTCAAACATCTTTTCTATGATTATATAAAGTGTTGTCGGTATTTATGTTGATTTATTTTATTGTAAGAACATTTACTTAACGAGGTTAATATAAAATTTTGCTGAAGTAAATAGAGTGATAACAGATTTCATATGTTACTGATAACTGACATCTCTTTTTTGTTTGTTCTGTGTATCTCTTCTCAAACATTTATATGTGGTTATCATTGATAAAATCCTCACCTATTTTTCACATGATGTACGACTACGTTGTCTTCATCATCATTCTTAGTGTCTGTGTTGCATTTACTAATGCATCTAGCATTCAAACTCAACCTTACAAAGTTACCAATGTTGCGACTAGAACTTGGGACGAAGCTATTGCTCTCGCCAAAGAATTTACTGCACAAATGACTTTAGAAGAAAAATGTAATATGACTGCAGGTATTGGGAGTCATTGTGCTGGCTTTGTTTCACCTGTTCCACATCTTCACTTTGGTGGTCTTTGTTTTCAAGATTCACCATCGGGTGTTGGTGATGGTGTTCAATTTTCTACGGCTTTTATTGCTGGTATTCAAATTGCTGCCACTTGGGATCGTGACCTTTTCTATCAACGTGCTGCAGCCATCGGTCAAGAATTTCGAGGAAAAGGTATTCATTTTGCTCTGGGACCTATGATGAATATTGATCGAAATGCTCTTCATGGTCGCAATTGGGAAGGATTTGGTGCTGATCCATATCTATCTGGAGAAAATTCGTATTATTATGTACATGGACTGCAAGATCAAGGTGTCGTAGCAACTGCAAAACATTATATTTGCAATGAACAAGAATCTAATCGTACTTATCATCCGACAACTGGCCCAAGCCAAGGTTATTCAGCTAATCTTGATGATAAAACGATGCATGAAATTTATTTATGGCCATTTGCTGATAGTGTTGCGGCTGGAGCTGGTTCCGTTATGTGCTCATATAACCAAGTCAATGGGACACAAGCATGCCAAAATAATAAAATCTTAAATGGACTTTTGAAAGATGAACTTAAATTTCAAGGTAATGTTATGTCTGATTGGGGAGCAACGAAAGTTGGAATAGAATCTGCTTTGGGTGGATTGGATATTGAAATGCCCGGTCAAGATGGATTAATGGGTTATTCTCTTCTTCCAGCAGTAAAAAATGGATCAATCACAGAGGCAAGAATAAATGACATGATTATTCGTATTTTGGCACCTTATTTTTTGCTTGGACAAGATCAAGATTATCCACCTCTCAATTTAAATAATGATGTGACTAGAGACCATTATGTGCTTAACCGATACATTGGTACTGCTGGCATCATCTTACTTAAAAATACACATAATACTTTGCCATTTAATACGACTACTGAAAAATTTTATTCGATTTATGGATCAGCAGCAAGTCGTTATAGTGATGGTGTTGATCCACATGGATTAGACGGATTAGATGGTGCTCTGTATCAAGGTGGTGGTTCAGGTTATGTCCGTCCCAACATATTTTATTGATCCTCTCACTACACTTCTTACTCAAGCTCGTGATTTTCATCTACAAATTCAATATGTGGTTGATCAAGATGATTATGTTGCTATTAATCGTTCATTAGAAAACAGTGGGTTTTTAGGAGGCAAATGTCTTGTTTTTCTTAATGCTTGGTCATCAGAAGGACGTGACAGACATAATCTTTTTGCTTATCATAATGGTGACAAACTAGTTAATACTGTAGCTGCTCATTGTGTTTCAACCATTGTTATTGTCAATAGTGTTTCACAACTTAATCTTGAAGCATGGATCGAAAATCCTAATGTTACCGCTGTTGTTTGGACAGGTTTGCCGGGTCCTGAATATGGACCAGCAATTGTTGATGTTCTCTTTGGTAATTATAATCCAGGAGGTAAACTAGTCTTTACCATAGCTAAGAATGATTCTGATTATGGTACTAATATTACTGAAACGTATAACTCTAATTATACAGAAGGTGTTTTTTTGGACTATCGACATTTTGATAAAAATAATATTACGCCAAGATATTATTTTGGTTATGGCCTCTCCTACACAACATTTTCTTTTTCAACATTGATGATTTCAAAAGTTAGTCAAAATAATCCTATTGAACAATCATTCTACAGACGACGTCATGTATCTTCCTATAGTAACAAAGCTTTATTAAGATTCTATGAACCTATTTATAGCATAACTTTTACTGTTACTAATGTCGGTAATGTCGATGGTTCCGAAGTGCCACAACTCTATCTTGGTTTTCCAGAAGAGGCAGCTGAACCACCTAAAATTTTACGTGGCTTTGAACGAGTTTATTTGGAAGCAGGTGAATCGAAAACAGTGACTCTAGTATTAACACAACGAGATATTTCATATTGGAATACTATCAATCAAAACTGGACTGTTGCTCATGGAAAATATACAGTTTGGATTGCAACATCAGCTAATAATGCTGACATTAAACTTGAAGGCTTTTTCTATATCTAACTAGCTATTAGATAAATAAATTTATTGTACTTCTAAAAAACCTAATGTTGTAAAATCAGATAATTAAAGTAAATTTTTTTTTGTAAACATATACTTGATCATGTATTTAACAATGACCGTTTCAGATGGAATCAAAAGTGGTCTGTTTTTTTCTGGATTATTATTCGTTCAACTAGAGAAAAATTTGAGAATCAGAATATGAAGATTGAGTCGATCAGAAGTTGTAGACAACAGCTATTACTTTATTTCTTAAATAGTTAAAATTATGGATCAAATTAAAGTCGCGTATCCTACTTTTCAGTTGATATTCAGCAAAATGTGAATAAAATTAATAAAGTCAATGAAGTGAGATACGTTCAAACTTCCAAAAACATAAATATCCGAGTCTCTAGAAAATATCTTCGTAGCATCATCATCGATTGAAAACAGTAAATAGAAATTCATAGGAGATTTTCAAAATTCCGTCAATTATTGCAATTTTAAGTTAATATTAATTTAATGCGTAGACAAATTAAATTGAAAGTAAATGTAACTTGACACTTTTAGGTGTTGATGAGAACTGTATTTGTATCTCATATTTAATGTAATTTATGTTAATTTATTTGTTCGAAGGTTATATTAGATTAAAATGTATGATGACAGTTGTACTTTCTTTTACAATCGGTATGCTTCTCAATCAATGAAACACATAACCAGCAGTGTAACCCACCAGTTACTATGGGCATTTTATATTCTCATTTTGTTGGTACATTTTCATAGATCATAGTACTTTCATGTTAGTATGATGTAAGTTTGTGTCTGTGTGAGGATCTTTTGTGTACCCATACTCATACCCTAATGTATTCTCACTGTAAAACGTTGTTGAAATATCATAATGTTGCTGAAATCTATCATACATACGACTGTATTATTGACCTTGTATTTATCAGAAAATACGACCCCGTTGACATGTCATATTACACAGTATACGGGTGGTATTCTTCAACCAAATTAGTAAGTATTATGGAGTTTTATAGGTGGTTCGGAGGGTGTGCTTCTCTCTTGAGTCAGAGGAACCTTATGTGAATACGATATCATATTACATCGTATACAACTGTGAACGGTTATTCACACTGGTTATATGTACCTCACATTTTGTTATATATATATATAT